TCTATGTCTATGTCTATGTCTATGTCTATGTCTATGTCTATGTCTATCTATCTATCTATCTATCTATCTATCTATCTATCTATCTATCTATCTATCTATCTATCTATCTATCTATCTATCTATCATCCTTGACTTACAGCAGTTCATTTAGTGACCAAAGTTACAACAGCATTGGAAAAAGGGACTTATGACAATTGTTCACACTCATGACCATTGCAGCATCCCCATGGTCATGTGATTTACATTTGGATGCTTGACAACCGGTTCATGTTTATGACGGTTGCAGTGTCCTGGGATCATGGGGTCATCTTTTGTAACCTGACCAGCAGAATCAATGGGGAAGCCAGATTCACTTAACAACCGTGTTACTAATATAACACCTACAGATATAGGCAGAAAAATCGTAAAATGGGGGCAAAACTCGCTTAACGAATTTCTCACTTAGCAACATAAATTCTGGACTCAGTTGTGGTTGTAAGCTGAGGACTACCTGTATACGTGTGACAATAACACTGCTCTTTCGAGCATAATATCTAAGGCTGACAGGATGGGAAAAAGGAATCATTCTGGTATTTTATTTTCTTAGCTATTTTTTTCTTGTTCCCAAAGGTGGCCTGGACCGGGCAGGGAAGGTGGAATGTCGAACTTCCACCGGGGGAGGTTGCAGACTTGTCCCAGTTCTCCACGGGATTCGTGGATTCGATCCCTGAAAGGAACCTCCTCTACGAGCTTTGGAAAAAAATGCACTTGTTCCGTAGCTACAGCTATCGGATCCAGCTGGAGGGGCAGCTGAACAATGCCCCAAGGATCCAGGGCATCCGATGGGTAAGTAAGAATGCTTGGACGTTGCAGACAATCGGGTCGGTCCTATTTTATGGGAGCTATTGGCCAATTTGTCTAGGCTCTGAGGCTTGCACACTTGGCCTTGGAGAGGAGGCCACTTGGAGACCCAAGGATTGTAATTCAAAGAATAGCGTGATGGATATTTCCATCTAGGAGCGTTCTCCCCTCAATGGGCAGGAATATCGGTGTGGCTAAGACAAATCACTCATTTAATATTATGCCTGCGAGTCAGAGTGACAGCAGAGTGCTGACATGAGCAGGGCGAAGGGATCGGCGTGCTTTCACTTTCAGGCAGGATGTGAAATCTCTTTACATCACCAGAATCTGAGTGTGCGTTTTATTTTAGCACAGGCCTAACAAATAGTCCTTGGGTGTCCTGAGAAAGTTTACGTCTTGTCCCTTAGATCTCTTCTGTTGTCAGAAGGGGTTTGTGGTTGATTCCCCCCCCCTTATTTTTTAATATTGCTGTTCTTAAGAGAAATGTGTTGTTGGTTCTGTTTGTTTCTTTTTTGCTTTCTAAGAATGATGCTATTGAATGAATGGCTAAAGCCATCCCACACATAGTCTTGTTTATCCTTTATGGCAGTGTTTCTCAACCTTGGCGACTTTAAGTCCTGTGGACTTCAACTCCCAGAATTCCCCAGTCAGCAGTCTGGGGAATTCTGGGAGTTGAAGTCCACAGGACTTAAAGTCGCCAAGGTTGAGAAACGCTGCTTTATGGTGAAAACCTTCCTGCTCCCAAGGGGTTCAGGGTTACTTGAGTCGATCCTCAGAACACCAGAACAGACAGTATACAGATAGTCCTCGACTTACGACCACAATTGAGCCCAAAAAGTTTGCGTTGCTAAATGAGACATTTGGTAAGGGAGTTGTGCCCTGTTTTACGACTTGTTGTTAAGTGAATCACTGCAGTTGTCATGTTGGTAACGTGGTTGTTGAGTGAATCTGGCTTCCCCATTGACTTTGCTTCCCAGAAGGCTGCCAAAGGTGATCACATGATCCCAGGATACTGTAACCCGTCATAAATAGGAATCAGTTGCCAAGCATCTGAACTTCGATCACATGACCATGGGAATGCTGCAATGATTGTGTGAAAAATGGTCATAAGTAACTTTTTCAGTGCTGCAACTTTGAATGGTCACTAAATGAACTGATGTAAATTGAGAACTACCCGTATTAAAAGAAAGTGAATAGTACTGCAAATGCAAAAAGCAAGAACCACTTTAGCAGAATATCCGATTCTAGCCATTGCCGTTTTAAATTTGTTTATGGCAGAATTGACTACTTTTAAGGGCTGCAGCATTCCATATTCCTCCCACCCCTGGAAATTTTGAGCTTAACCCCCAGAGATCTTTAAACGTTGTTTTTTTAAATCTTTAAATGATTTATGAAATATTGAGACAGTAATTAAATTGGAAAGTAGCTATATTAACCATAGTGGGTTTTATTTCAAAGTAAATTAAATCAATTTTATTTTTTGTCCCGCTAGCAGCTTTGGGGATGTGGGCCTTCAACAAGCTGCTCTAGCTGTCAAATGAGAAAAAAAAAAAAGCATTCAGCTAAACGTGATGAAATACAGCATGGCTTAATGTGCGAGAAACCGGATTAATGAATTTCATAGTTGAGCAGGAATTTGAATGTTATATGCTGGATGGGGATCATGGGAATTGTAGCCATTTATTTTGGGAAGGGTCTTTGCATACTCATCCTGTCATTTTGGGGAATTAGTGCACTGCAATATCATTAACATGCCTTCTGTAAAATTATCCTGTCAAACTCATGGGGAATTCCCCATGACAACTGTATAAGATAGATAAATGTTAATTGTTTTCTCCATAGTGTATTAACGTAGCTATTCATGCAGTGCTGGGATACAAATGCCGGTAACAACCGGTTCTCTGCCCTAATAACCATCTGGGTAGACATGGCTTGGTGGTCATGTGACTGGGTGGACATGGCCAACTCAACGTCACTCACGTCAATGGGCGCTTCGCCTTAGCTGTTACAATGTAAGAAGGGTTAACCAAAGAGGCTGTTTCTGTAATCAGGGCAATAAAGAATAGGCTAGAAACCCCACCAGAATGTTTCCTTCCTGNTTCCACTGATTAATTGTTCTAACTGTCAGGAAATTTCTCCACAGTTCTAAGTTGCTTCTCTCCTTGATTAGTTTCCACCCATTGCTTCTTCTTCTACTATCAGGTGCCTTGGAGAATAGTTTGACTCCCTCTTTGTGGCAACCCCTGAGATATTGGAACACTGCTATCATGTCTCCCCTAGTCCTTTTTTCTATTTCTCCCAGCCCTACCTGGGAGAGGTGAAACCTGGGGTGATCATGAACATCACTTGGACTTCTAGCCCAGAACCACCAGGCCCAATCTGCTAGTTAGTAATAAAGCATTTCTTTGCTACTGTCTATTGATGGTTCAGATGTTTACTGCTCAGATCTGGTAGCTGGGTTCATACTAAAAGTCAGTAGTTTGTTGGACTTAGCAGGTTTGTATAACATATTACTATAATTTCTCCCAAGGATTTATGACTTAGGATACGATGTTGTATAAGCCTTATCCATTGGCCCTTCTATAAATAATTATCAATCAAATTATTTCATTCAGGTTTTAATTCTCAAGTCTAGTTCCTTGAATATTTCAGAAGCTGCCTTTAGATATGCAGTAAGGTTCTGCTAGAAGTGTTTCTGATCATTATTAAAAATTAAATACTGCTTTTACCTTATTGTACTTGATGATATTCTAAACATGTCTCCCTTCTTTTTTTTTTCGTCCTTGGAAATTAAGAAGTCTTATATAATTAAGTGCTGCTTTTATGCCAAAACTGAACCTTATGCAAGAGTCTGACATTCTACTGATAAGGATTTGGCACTTAGTGGAAAAGTTATAGCTGGGGCTGCTCTCAAAGAGTGACTAAGCCAGCATCATAGTAAGCTAACATACTAGATGAGATAAAGGGAAAGAATCAAGTAGAATAGGGACCAGGGAAATGCTATTTGGTAACAATGCCAGGGGAAGGACCACAGTTCTAATGGGAGCATCTGCGTCGCATGTGGAACATCTGAAACTAAGTTCCTGGGAATCTCCAATAAAAAAATGAGGGAGTAGATAATGGAAAAGAATTTTTTCTTCCTTCTCCTGAGATCCAGGACCAAGCAGGTGGAGAACAGCTGGATTGGGCATTTCTTCATGTTCCCTTTGTTTGATCATTCAGGCTGCTAAATATTCTTAGCCTATTTATATTTACTTACAACCAACACCCTGGGCGAATCAATAATGTAGTTTGTTTGGTATCATCTTAGTGTTTTGTACAAAGTCAATCACTGTGATTTGTAAGCCATGTTATATGGCTTAGTGTGGAGGGTATCCCTGAACAAGGGCCCAGGAAAGTGTATTATCTAGCTTATAATTAAACTGATCAAGTAAAAGCTTTTGATAATAGAAAGTGCTACCCATGAAATAATAATAATAAATCATGTAGGCCATGGAAAAGAGGAATACAAGTTCAAAGAGGCAAAATCCCAATGCTTAGAAGGCAGCGGGTACATCTTTTTTGGCCTCTTCCTTGTAGCAGCCGAGTACAGCTGACAGCCAAGATTTTATCAGTGTCGGAGCCAACCTTGTAATAATTGTCTAATCTACCTGTCCCATCTCATTCATGACGGTAAGAAACTGGCATGAAAAAGGACTAAATGGTAGCTCTCGTTTTGTTATGAAACCTGATGCTTGGTATTTACCTTACTGATCAGTCGGTTTAGGGCTGCACAGGATCACTGAATCCCGTGATTTGTGGCTGGCATCACGTCATTTCAATGGGTGATTTGACTTGTAGGGTGGTGACATTTCATAGCAGGACTGGTTCGGTTGGGTGACTTCTTTATGCGCTCATGTGACTCTAGTTTCAACTTAACAATCAAACTTAATAAGGTTTCCAAACCACCCTGTTAATCTAAACGAGGATTATAACGTCTCTGAATTTGATGGAAGATAATTTATTTCCTGCGTTAAGGAAGTGAACATAACGTGCCGGGGCAAGTCCATTTTGTAATTGCTCCTGTTTCTGATTTTTACAATCCCTGAGAGATTGTAAATTGACTACTAAGTTAAATTCATTAGCAAATAACCATTGGTAACAATGATGCTTCTGTATAACTGCATCTTAACCTAGGTTTCAGTTGAGGAAGTCACGGTATACCTAATCACATTGTGCATTATATGTTGTGCAATCTAAGCCTTAGATGTCAACACTGGAGCGGCAATGAATTCCCATTATTTTAGATTTGTTTAATCACATGTCACACTTCAATGGGCATAAGTTTTCAGGACATATAAGTTCTAGGTTCACTTATTATTTATCTGTTGCATTTCCTCCACTAATACTCCAATTTCCAGCGATTCCTTCTTTAAATAGTGTGTCTACTGAATCAGCTTTTGTAAGCAGTGACACATTGACCTCTTACCTTCCGACAAGGGTGTCAAATTCAATTTCATTGAGGGCTGCATCAGGCTTGTGTTTGACTTGGGGGGGGGCGTGGCCAGCTTGACATCACTTATGTCAGCGATGCCTGTGGTGGCCCAAGTGCTCTGCCAGCGAAAACAGGCTCGCAAGCTCTGTTTTTAGCTGCAATGGCCTCCTGCAACCCTCTGCCAGGTAACATGGAGCTCAGGAGGGCCACATACTGGTAGAGGCACCATGGGCTAGCCCTCTGCTGTTTTCAGGATGGCACTGAGGGCCAGATCTAAGCACCCCGCAGGACGACCTTGAATTTGACACCCCTGCCTTACGAGCCTGTTGAATTTCCCTGGATAAACTGCAAATCAACTCTGCAAACTGTAGCAAACTGTAGATTCTTCTACCAGATAAGGAAGAAAGCCTCCAGCTGAATCAGTGGTGTAGCACCATTAGTCCAGGAAAAAATATTGAGTCACATGCTCCTGTATTTATGTTTATTGGGCTGTATTATTATTAGTTAGTGA